ATGTCATAGTTTATAAACTAAACATTTAACTTACAAATTAAATATTTAGTTAACAAGCTAAATATTTAACATAAATATTTAGCTAGCTACCTAAATATTTAGGTTGCAACTTAAATATTTAGCTAGCTACCTAAATATTTAACCTAAATATTTAGGTAGCTACCTAAATATTTAACAAATATTTAGCTAGCTACCTAAATATTTAAGTTGCAACCTAAATATTTAGGTAGCTAGCTAAATATTTAAGTTGAAAGCTAAATATTTTGCTCAAAACTAAATATTTATGTAAGTCCCAAGTTAAATATTTAGCTTCTTAACTAAATATTTAATTTGTAAGTTGAATATTTAGTTTATAAAATATGACATTTATAAATGTTTGAATCATATGGTGAAAAACAGACTTTAAAAAATAAATCTGTTCTTTTTTTCTTATAAAAGGCTAAATGAAACAAAAATGTTGGTTGTAATCTTTGACTGTAACTTTACAGATGGCACCACATATTTAAATGCATGGTTTTACATCTCATAAGGATAAATCACATGTAGTTAAATATTGACAGCATTAAGCTAAAGCTAAGATGACCTCACATCAGACATTTCCTGTTATCTTCTCTCTCACAGTTTACCTGAAACTGGTCTGAGAGCACAGCAGCACAAATTTCAGTCAAAGGTTTCCCATCAGGGGTGGTGACCAGAGATAACATATTATAGGTCTTTCATAGATGGTTTTTGTTTGCTTGTTCACTTTTATTGCCTTATGGAAATGACTATGAGCAGACTCTTATCAGGCTCAGTCTCTGGAATAAAGACTGTAGAGACTGCATGTAAAAGTGTTGTTTATTCCCAGACAGCATTTAGTCATCAGTTATTAGAGCACAGTTTACTGCCATTTACCTGCCTTTTACAGGACTGTGTAAAAGTCTTGATCCACCTCTCATTTCTTTGGTTTTATCTTTCAATTACTCAGATTTTGTTGTAATTTATAAAGTGATCATTAGCAATATTACCTTCAGCATTTAATATTAAGATTTCCAGATTTGGCATTTATTTTTCCTTTAAAAAATAACTTTAAGTTCCATTTTTTTAGTCCAGTACCATTTCAAGAGTGTTATCTCTGATTTATGCCAAATCAAAAACTTGTTTATCTCTAAACACAAGTTATTAACCAGTGTTTTAGATATTGTTACAACAATCTAACACTGAACCTGTAGTCACTTAAGACATAAGATATAATATTTTTTTATTGTCATTATATTTCTAGAACATAACTAAATTGTCATGTTGCCCACAGTTAAGTACACTTAAGAAACATTCCTTTTCTCTAATTTCTTCGAYTGAACCTATGGAAAGCACAGGGTGAGACATGGTGAAAACTATCGGCAGCAAGTTATCTGTTTAGATTGTCACAAACTGCAGTCATCCAAGTGTWTTAACTGTGGCTTGAAAAGCTTTTTTGTCAAAATAAGATGATAGAAGTTAGAATTGCATTGAATGTAGTACCTGTAAAAGCTCACAAGGTGTCACACTTAACAACAAATCCAGTGAGTTATGAAACCCTCCATGTTTGTTTCCTGCCAGGTTATTTAATTTTATCCACATAGAAACATGAATACCTCATTTTAATGTAACATAGAGTCAAACTTAATTCAGTGGCATTTCTTATATTTYTATGAACTTTCTGTATAGCTTTATAGTTCATGAAATATTTTGCACTCAAACAATACCATAAGTTGGATCTTGAACATAATATTGTACAATACTATAATATGACCCAATGTTAACAGATGAAGAACCTTTAACGCAATCGTATTGGGTTTGTACTTCTTTGCCTGATTCAGCTTTTTTTCAAAAACGTCGCTCTGATTAAAGAAAAACCTGAAGTTTTAACGAGGCCTTTTTTTGTTCACAGTTTCATATAAAAAACGACCTGTTAGCAGATTASGCACCTTTCTCAGAAACTTATTGCTACTTTGACCCTTTCTTGGGGAAATTTCACAGTTTCCAAACCACCTTTTGTCACGTTTTCACAACTCCGATGCAGCCTCGGATGTGTTTACAGCTGACTATCTCGAAGCTGCAGATAAAGAGAAGTGTTTATGTGTTGCCACCCGGACTTATCTTTGTAWAAGGCTCGATGACTACTTAGTCATCCAGTTTTCTAATTAGGCTTTCTGAACTTTCCAGGCTGCTGTAGTCATGGAAAGCTCCCMGGGCTCCTTTTAACTCAATGCTCCGTCTGCTGTCTGGTCTTGGGTGATACTTTAGGTCACCTTCTTCATTTTTCATGGGTGTTAAGTTGGACAAATGCGATGCTCACATTTCGTCCCACAAGGTTTGGTCATTGACCTCCGGAGCGGGCGCACTGCAGCAGTGCAGTCGCAGAGCGTTGTCCTGTCGTAAATCTTTATCTCTTTGAATCATTACTTGCCCTTCTGTTGTACAGGGACGCCATTCTCCGAGYCCAGCAATAAAAACCAGGCATCAGGCAGAGCAGATACAAGCACACAAATCACATTCAAAGAGGCTTGTAGAATACAATGGCTTTATTAAAAATATAAATGAAAGCAACAAACTCTGAAAGTCCATTTGATGTGCTATAATATTCAATGAAAGAACAAATTTGATGCATTAAAAAAAGGCAAATAAGTAAAAAAATTATTTATAAAGCACTTTTTTTTAGAAACGACTTCACAAAGTGCTGTACAATACAGAAAATACAAAATATGACAATGCAACAATAAACATCACGGAGCCGTCAAATATTTCCATCCCGAAACTTGTAAATAAAAACTCCTCAGAACGCTGAATTATTTAAATTAATTAAAAAGGTATATAAATAATTAAATTTAAATTTTTGGGGAGGATTAGGTCTGCAACAAGTTTGGTGTCACTGAGGCATTTTTAACATATCAGTACAGGAGGATAAATAAGATAAGATAAGATAATATCAACATAATATATTATGTTTTA